GCCCCCCCCCACCCCCGCCCCCCCCCCGCCCCCCCCCACCCCCGCCCCCCCCCCGCCCCCCCCCCCCGCCGCGCCGCGCCCTCCCGCCGCCGCCGCCCCCGCCGCCGCGCCGCCGCCGGCCCCCGCAGCCCCGGCCCCCGCGCCGCCCGCGCCCGCCCCGCCGCTGCACGCCACCTTCTCGTGCCCCGCCACCAGCCGCACCAGGTAGCCCAGCGAGACGAAGAGGTAGCAGGCGGCCAGGAAGATGATGGGGCGCTCGGGGTACTTGAAGCGCTCCATGTCGATGAGGAAGGTGGAGACGGTGGCGAAGGTGGAGAGGAAGCAGAGCACGGACCAGAGCCCGATCCAGAAGGCGGTGAAGGCGCGCTCGTCGGGGCTGAAATAGGGGTTGTGGCACGGCAGGGCGCAGTTGGCGATCTGCCCCGTCTTGACGCGGTTGTAGAGCGGGTGCCGCTCGCTGGACACCGACACCATGGGCGCCCGGCACTGGCAGCCCGGCTCGCAGGGCGGCGGCGGCCGCGGCTTGCGCGGGGCCTCGGCCGGCGGGGCGGCGGCGGCGGGAGGCGCCTTGGCGGGGCTGCCGGGCTTGGCGCCGCGGAGCGGGGGCTTGGCGGGCGGCGGGGCGGCCGTGGTGAGGTCCGTGCGGTTGTAGTCCATGCAGAGCGTGTCCGGGCTGCCCTGCTCGGGGAGGCGGTCGCAGCGCATCCTGTCCGGCCAGGCGAAGCCGTACTGGCGCATGAGCGGGGCGCAGCCGGCCTTGGCCCGCTCGCAGACGCTGCGGCAGGGCGGCAGCGGCTTCTTGTAGTCCTCCAGGCAGATGGGGGTGTACATGCTGCAGAGGAAGAAGCGCAGGTCGCTGGAGCACTGGATTTCCACCAGCGGCCAGAACTGGTGCACTTCCAGCCCGGCCTCGTCCTGCGTGTCGTGGTTGAACTGGTTGGGCATATAGGTGTAGTTGTAGCCGATGCCCTTGCAGAGGGGCACGGTGATCTCCTGGCACGACAGCTCCTTGGCCGAGGAGGAAGAGGAGGACGCGGCGGCGGCGGCCGAGGCGGCGGCGCAGCCGGCGCGCTGCAGCAGGGACAGGGCGGCGAGCAGCGAGGTGATTTCCAACAGGTAACTCCACTCCATGCTCGGCGGCGCGGGGGCGGCGGCCCCGGCTCCTCTCCCGTCCCGCTCAGCAGCCGCGGGGAGCGCGGCGCCACAGCACCCCCCGGCCCTGGCTACCCCTCGGGGAGGCGCAGGGCGGCCCCCTCCGTGCCGCTCGCAGGTGAAGAGGTCTCGCAGCCCCCGCGGGACTCCGTCGCCCAGCAGGGAAGCGGCCCCGCGGGCACCCAGTGAGCGGGAGCCGCCGGCGATCCCCCACTCGGCGCCGGAGGAAGGGGATCCGCTCACGGGAGGCCCCTCAGGCGCCGCCGCATCGCTCCTCGCGGGGCCGGGTGCCCAGGGGGTGCCGCCGCTCCTCTCGCCGCTACTCCAGCGCCGGACGGGCACAGGGCGGTGGCGGCGGTGCAGAAGTTTCGCCGTCAGCCCCGGCACGGCAAAGATGGTTGAGGCGTCCCGGGGAGCGGGCGGTGCGCCCCGCGGCGCCGGGCTCCCACCGCCCCGTGCGGGCGGGCAGTGGCAGGGCTGGGGTGGCCGGAGCGGCTCCTTCTGCCGCTCGCCTGAGCGCTCGGCTTCGCGGGCGAGTGCTAGCCGGGCGGTGCTCGCCCTGCGCCTCCTCCGGCTGCCGGAGCCCCGGCTACGGTCGCGCCACCTGAGCCGCGGGTCGAGCGCGGCGGCGCCTCCGCAAGTTCTCGCTCTCCGGCCCCGGCAGCGCCGCTCCGGCCGCCGCGCTCTCATGAATATTTATAGCGAGAGACGCCTGGCCCCGCCCCCAGCGCCCCAGCCGCCAATCAGCCGCGCTCGGGCGGGCGATGGGGGGCGGGGCCCAGCGCTCCTTAAGGTGGAGTTGGCGCGGGACCGTGGTGCTGGTGGGCGCTGTTCGGTGCCCTCGGCCGCGGGGGGACGTGGCTGTTGTTCGGCGCGGTCCGGGCGCCGGTGTGTGCGGGGATGTGCGGGTCCGCACCGCGGTGCGCGGGCTGCGGCGGCCAGGCACCGGCCCAGGCTGCGCAAGGGACTTCTGTGCCCCTGTAAGGGTTCCCCGCCAAGTCACGGTCCCTGTGCGGCAGTTTAAGCGGCGCTCGGGGCTCCCTCGAGAGGGGTTTTCTGTCACATCGCTGGTACCCGCGGGAGTTCGTCACCCGTGCCAGCGCTGTCCCATCCCGGCTGTCCTGTCCCATCCCGGCTGTCCTGTCCCGCGGGGCTCAGGCTGCCTTTGCACCGCCCGTCGCACGTGTTGGTGGCGGAGGTGGGAGCGCGGCGAGGCCGGGAGGGGGCCCGGTGGCACCTCAGCCCGTACCTGTCCGCGCCCCTCCAGCCCAAAAGCATCGCTGCGGGTACGGGCGCACAGACGTGCAGTGCGAACGCAGCGCTGGGTGCCCCTGCCCTGCACATCGCGGGGGGCAGCGAGCGAGCGGTGACATAGGGACCCCCGAGGCGCAGGAGCCGCGGGTCAGGGGGCGCTCGCCGGGCGGGGTAGCTCCTCAAGCGGGATGGGCACCGACGCTCCGTGTGCGCCCACGGGCCGGCGCCGGGAGCTCCCCGTGGGATGCGCGGAGGAGCCGCGGCAGGTGGACGCTCCCGCCGGGTCCCTGCCGGGGCGGGACGTGGGCACAGCCCGGCAGAGCTGCGGGGGACGCGCTCGGGGCCCGCACCCGGAGAGTGCCCCGCAGCCCAGGGGGAGTCCCGGGAGGCCAGTTCTGGCCCGGCCGCGGCTCCCGCGCCAAGCCCGGCGCTGCGGCGGTGACTCGCCGAGGAGCCGCCTGCAGCCGCCCACAGCGGCATGACCCGCCATCCCGGCGGCGCAGCCATCTGCTGATCGGTGTCCGCTCAGACGCCCCCGCCCCGCCGCCCTGCGCTCCCGGGGTCCGTGGGGCGGCCCCGGGGGGACTCGGCGCTTTCCCCCGCCCGCCGCAGGGAAAGGGCCGGGCGGGAGTTCCGGCGGCCCCGCCGTGGCCAGACCACCTTAAGGGGCGCGGCGGCGGCGGGCGCGGGCCAAGCGCGGCGGGGCCGTCCCGGGGGGTTGTCGCGCTCCCGGGACGGGGCGTTTGTTTGTTAATTGACGCGGGCGCTCCCGCTGCGGCCGCCCTGATGGAACCGCGGGAACGCGGCAGGGATTGTGTGATCCGCCGGGAGTCAAACCGCGAGAAGCGGGGCCGGGGGGAGGGAGCCTGCCCCGGGGGGGAGGCGGTGCGGGACGCCGGGAGGAAATGGGACGCGTGAGGCCAAACAAGAAACAATCCCGAGTTTGTTGGCTGAGCCAGCAGGCTGCTCGCGCCCGCTCTGGAGCGAAAGCGAGGATTACCTCGTTAGGAGGAAATGGGCGATAATGGGGCAATAAACGCTGTGTCCGCGGTGTGATCCCGGCGGAGATTCCCAAAGCGTCGCTCCCGACCCGGCGCCCACTCGAGCTCGGACAGGACAGGGAAGCGCTCAGGGGCCGTGGCCGCGTTCCTCCGCTTCGGAACCGGCCCCACTATTGCACGCAGAGTCCTGTTTCTGATCAACTTTTCCAAAAGTAGCAAATGGTTGTTTTAGTGCTCATTTATTTAACACCGTACTGAAAAGAGTTAGGAGATCGAACAATGCCCAGTGAGGAAGAGGTCTGGCAGAGGTCTCAGGGAGTGACAGAGGTTCAAAAAGTCTCCAGTCCTGGACGCGATACTTCATTTTTTAAGTGACTGTTTTGCTGGTGGCTGTTCGAAGCGTACCTTATTTAAAAAAATCTCTGTAGAATCTAAAACTGAGTAGGTCTAGTCAGGAGAGCCGAGCGAGTCTGTAAATTACTGCTCTTGTCAGGATTCCTGTTGCCTATTACAAAGTACCTTTTTACGCTGAACTTAAACTCTACACTACAGAGACAGCAGATGTGAGGTGATGGCTTCCAAAAGCAACACAGATGCTGTAAAATTTCCATTGCTATATTTCAGCGAGGAAGCTCAGGAGACATGCTGAATGCTGCAGTTTAGAATTACACTATAACTCTCCTAGAAATAAGAGAATACCAAGTTTCTCTACAGTACACTTGGCTTCGTTTTTACTGTCATTCATATGCTCTTGTTTTCTTAAAGCGAGAAAAGAGATGCAGCACAAAGATACTGTGTGTCTTGAAGCTGTTCAGTAATGACAGAATCGGTAATATGGAACTTTATGGCAATTTAGTAACGACTGCATATCCAAATTCCCTAGTAAGACCATGATAATTTTTAGAATTGTCTTTCAGGTATATAAAACAGCACAGCTGTGAGGAGGCTGCTTTGCTTTATGTGAGTGAAAAGCAGCCTGGATAGCTCAAGACTGTGGAATCACAGCCCATTGTGTGTTCCTCATACTCTGAGACTTCCCTGAAGTCCCTAGAAGTCCTGCGATGAAGGAATCAAGGGTCAAGTCTTTAAAATGGTTTGTCTGTTTATTCCAGAAAATACAGCAGCTGCTGTATTTCTGAAAAGCTGAGCTTTGCTATAGCAATACAGAATACTTTAGAGCACTTTTTTATTCCAAGGATTTCAAAACAGATGTCCAGTCATCAAATCATGCAGAAATATAAAGCTGGCAAGAGTGTTACAGATGCTACAACTTTTTACAAACTTACAGAATTGACTTATTATCAAATCTAGTCACTTTGTGACTAGTCCTTGTCACTACAAGTCTTTGTTGCCACAGATATTCATGCCTCTTTTATCCAAACATTTAGGTTTGTCACTGGTCCCTCTAATGTAAGCTTAATTTTTGTGTGCATTTGAGGCTGTGCATTTGGGATTATGGGGATCCCACCAAACCAGGTAATGGTAACTACAGGGCATTTTAGTTCAAAATAAGTAAATTGACTCTTGATTTTTTTTTAACTGGAAATAAAAATTCCATGTAAAATCTTGGGTTTAACATGCTATTTTGTTAATGTAGAAATACAGATGTTTAGTTTACAAGGTTAAAAATTGCTTTTTAATTCCCACTGAATGTTCTCCAGTAAATTTTAGTGTGGCATTGTCTGCAATGGATAGGTCACTGAATGGTGCTTTTATAAAAATGTTTGAAAAGAAGAACTTGGTCCATGGAAATTGTTCAAATAATCTTGTTAAAATGAAGCCTTGACTGAAGGCAGTAATTTCATGGATTAAACGCAGAAGGGCTGTCTAGGCTGATCTCCTTCCTATCACAGGCCACAGAGCTTTATCCAGAGACTGTCTACGCAAATGCTGGGTAGCTACAAGACATGGGGGATTTTGAATGGACAATACATTGAACAACACCATGAAACTAGAAACTGTGGAACTTTTTGAGGAGTTGTTGCATCTCGCTGTGTTCAGCTTTCCCCTAAAAAAGTACCAATAAAAAGTAAGAGAAACTGTTTTTTTCCAATCCATCCTTTTCTCTGACAAGCCACGTGCAGTCAGGATCTGAACAACATGATGGGCCATCCAAGTATGGGAAGGAAGTAATTGATTTGTACTTCTGCAAGTCTGCAAAGCAGACAGTATGAGAAACAGGGATGGGAAAGTGCAGTGTGCATATATATCTTATAGTTTGATAGATATTTTTCCTTTCACAAAAAAAAAAAAAGCCACTCGTCTTCTGAGTCAACCTGTATTTTTATTGTGATTCATGAGAACTTTCTGTAGACAAGAGCAAGGTACTGCTTCCACCTTTTCAGGGATGTCAGATTTGATCATGGATGGGCACAGTAGCATGATGCTGCCGTTGGTCAGTGAGGTAAGAGAGAGACCTCAGGCAAAAAGGAAATAGGCTGAATACAATTTGCTGCAATAGCAACTGCTGGAGTGCAGTGAGTAGGTGATAAATAGAGGAGGAGGAGAAACTGCTGGAAGAGAACTTTGCTGTCCCTTTACCATAAAGGACAGTGACAAAATGATTGAGCCTTGCTGTGGTCTGAGGATTGCTCCAGCAGTGAAGCTGCAGGTTGCGGCCCTGAATGTGGCTGGAGGATATTTTGCTGAACATTGGAGCAGACCATGATTAGACTTCTTCCTGAGGCTGCTTTGGATGCATGAGCATCACTAGAGAAGCAGCATGAGCAGCAGAATAAATGTAAGAAGTCAGTGGGAACAGCAGTTTAGTTTGAGGGCAATAAAAGATGAACTTGTATTGAAGGGCTTTAGCCATGTTCTACCACACTATACAGTTGATGATCGGGCTTTTTCCTTAATATAATTTTTTATTTTTTCCCCCATTATTTAGCAAGTTGTATTTATAATTCAGCCATGCTACAAACTGTAGTACCTCATGGTGTGGTGTTTCACACGTGATAAATCATGTGACTTTTGAAGACAAATTGTCCTTAGTTAAACAGTCTGTTGAATCATTGTCACTATACTTGGAGAATAATAAAAATGTAAAAATATCATGCAGTTAAATTGCTAACCATAATAGGTATGTATGGACATAGTGAGTAGTGTTGTCTTCATCTGATTATCCAAGTAAACATGAATTTACTTTCTAGCAACTGCCAGAACATTAGGATGTAAATTCATTCTTGAATCTCAGGAATGTTTTGTGAATTCTGGCTGGCAAGGAGAGGTCCCAGGGTTTAAGATGAGAGTATAAACATGCACCATTCTCTTCTAAAAGTGAAAGCATGTCCAGACCTCTGGCATACCAGTGACTTCTGTGGTCATGTTTGCGATTCTCTTTCCATGCTCCATCAAAATCTCATTAATGCTCGTAAATGCTCAAATGGCACATTCACTGTTGTTACTCCCAGCATGGATTGGGAACTCAGTTTGTTCAGTCTTCAGTTTTGGAGGCCTCAGTTTTAACAACCTGGGTGTAAACCCCTGCAAAGCTTCTGGTAAATATCCACCTGGCTTACCTGTCTGAGATGTGGCCATCTGGGGTGGGCAGCTGCCAAATAATATCTACCATCTGGCCTTAAGATGGTATGGCATGCAGCTGTCTGGTCTTTGATGTCAGATCTACTGGAAGAATTAAGGGGGGCTCTATCTATTAACTTGATTTACTTAACTTTGTGGCATCTATGTTTGGGTTAAGTGATAGTAGATGGGTGAGTAGTGCATTTAACTCTTACAAGCTCTGAGTATTGATGCTGACGGGGTGTAAGCAGGAGCCACAAGAGAGAAGATAGTGCAGGGTTCTCTCTTGTTTACAGTAAATCAGAGTTGGGATGGTTCAGTTGCCACACCACAAGGAGCTGTGGGACTCCTGGCAAGAAATCCATCCCAGCCTGTCCTGGTGGAAGAAGGCACAAAAGAAGTAGATATGAAAGGCTTTGAGCTAAGGATGTCCTGTCTGCAGTAGGCCAGTCTGGGCTATCTAGATTGGTGCAGAGACTAGATTAAGCAGTGTACTCCACTTTGACCTATGAACTTTTGCATAAGCTATCTGGAGACCTTAGGTTCCATGTATGCCCTCTCACGTGCTGCAGATTAAATGAGAAATGCACTTATGACTAAGAAGTGGACTGAAGAAAAAAAGACACTTTGTGTTGAAAGACATGGATAAGGCTAAACCCCACATATGAGAAAACTTTGTATAGCCAATTTGAAGAGGAAAAGGTGTCATTAAATTCTTGAATTATATGAAGTTGTTCATAAATTCCGATGCTACTTTTTGCACCTCATAAGTCAGTAATGCTATAATTTAAGGGAATAATGTTTTGCATATGTTTGAAGTAGACATTTTTCAAGTTTCACTATTTCCAATTCTAGCTTTTGAAGGATGCACAACAGTAATTTTTAAAATATTGAAAGATAAAAATCACGCTGAAGAATTCTTACTGAAATTACTTATTGACCTAGAATTAAAGTGGAAATAACAAATGTATCTTTCATCACTCATTTAGAATATTTATTCTTTGTATTTCTCTTACTCTAAACAAATTTTTTATCTCTAGAGTTAGATCCTGACTAATCCTTCGCTGTGCTGATTTTGCTGGGACAAAACATACATGATTAGTGATTCTAAATATGAGTAAGGACAGCAGGCTCGGGCTTGTACTAATTTTGATGAATAAATTTGCCTTGAGAATGACAAGTTGTGTTAGCACTTTTCACTTTATGACATCAGACAGTCAAAGATGTTAACTCTGTGCAGGGGAATCAGCATTAGACAGGTGTTTGGAACTGTGTACAGGGAGCTCTCTGGTGCCTAGTCTCAGCAGAAACTCTTAAAAAACCTTTCTCTATCTTTATTTTAGTAAAATAATGGTGTGATTGAAAAGAAAAGTGTTGAAAGGAATTTCACTTTAATAGCAAAATGTTCTTCCTTTCATTTTACCCACTGAGTTCTTAAATAAGGATATTCCTTTGCCAGTTCCTTTGAATTTTCTTGGTTCCTAGTTGGCATAATGACAGCAGGAATAGTCCTCTGTGTGTACGGTGAGGGGAAAGAAAGTAGTACCCCACTGGTAAGAGATTTTTTGCAGTTGACTTTTGTGGGTTCACAAGGGTTACAAAAGATGCAGTCTTGATTGATTTCTTGTCTTTATTTTCTTTATACATTTATTTTGCTGTTGAGGTGGGGGGGATGCAACTGTATGTCAGAAAGCAGCCGCAAGGGAAGAGAAATACTAGAAATTTCGTTGTAACATTTTCCCTGGTGGTATTAGTTGAGTGTTTCTCTGTCTTGGTCTGATCAGGGCCTGGTTTTAGATGAAAGGCTTTCAGTTCTTCCAGTAGATTTTGGAGTTCCAAGCAAAGGGGTGATAAGAGCCATATTGAGATAGCTGTTACTCTCACTTTTTTATTGTATTAGTCTTATCAGATTTATTCCTTCTGGTTTAATTCACTGAATTAAACGGCCCTGAAAGGGAATAATAAATGGAGTATCTTATTTTCTTGCCACTTCACCAATTTTACTATACACATTTTTATATTACAGATTTTTTACCTAGTAAGTGTAGGCATTGTCTGAATCTTACCTTCATCCTTTGCTTTTGTAAGGTAGGCTGATTGGTTTTTTATAAATTAGAGCTCATACATTGAGTTATCACATCTAATGAGCCCTGTTTGTTTTATTTTGGCTTTAGCTCCTTGGCTTTTGAACAGTCCTGCTAACAGAACTGGAATGGAAAAGTTGAAACATTTTACTGCTGCTTAAAGTTTTTCTGATTTGTAGATGCGTGGGTCCAGATGCTAGCTTTGAATCTGCAGGTTAATGAGCAAGAAAGACCTTGCTTGACCCATGAAATTTCCTGCACGAATTATTGACAAAAAATACAGTGCTTTTTTCTTTTCTCTCTCTCTCTTTTTTTTTTTTTGGTCTTAATTTCCAGGAAACACTACATGCTTTGACAGAATTTAGAGGACTGAGAGGTTTTATCTGAAAACTAAAACTTCTTGATTTGAAAAATGTTACTGTAGTCCTCCTCTGATATTACAACCTGAATGCCTGCTGGCCCTGTTCTGCAAGGCTGAGGCTGCCTACCACCTTTGACACTATGCCATGATCTTTCCTCTTTGAAGGGAGTGCTGGAAGTAGGGAATCTCTCAAAGTGATCTATCATCAGAATTCTTGTTTAAATGCTCAGTCTCGTTGATAGAGATCTGCCACATGAAGCAGGTAAGCTGGAGATACAATGAAATGTTACAGTAGCATTTCTTAATAATATTTTATGTTTTAAATAAAAATATTTTGGTTGGTAAGTTTGGCTTTTTGGTAAGAAAAGTATACTTTGCAGAAGCACATATTTAGACATTCCAAAACCCCCCAAACAATCCAACCAAAAAAGTGTTTAGCTGAAAGTCTCGTTTCCCATCAAAAATAGATGCAGTGGAAAATTTTCAGGCAGCCCTATATTTAACCTCCTTGGATCAAAATTCGGTTGTTGGACTGAGAGAGGCTTCCAGAGTGTTTTTGCTGCTTTTGTTAGGGTGTCTGTTTTTTCACTCATGACATCTGCCTGCTTTTCAAGCTATATTCAACCTTGTTATAATTCTTGAAATTGCAGCATTTTACTGTGTTCAGAATGCTAATTCCCACTGGACTCAACTTGCTGGGGTATATGAAAACTCTCTTTTAAGGGGTGCATCAATCTTGCCTTTTTTTTATTTTATTTTGGCTGGGTTTTAATAAGCAAATATGAGTACCATATCCACTGAACACTGACTGTGCACAAAACAGCATCGCTGCAATACAGTTCCTAGTTTCTTTGCCCAGGGTATCCTTGCTTTGGCATGTTTTAGATGTAGAAGTGATATGAATGAGGTAAGTTTAAGGGATAACTGACTAAGTGTTTGAAAAAGAAGACCCATTGGGCAAGATAAATAGATAAATCACATCAGTCTCAGGAATTCCTGATGGGAATATAGTTGAAGGGCTAGGGGAAAATTCGGGGAAAATTCTGTATTTGATTTCTTTCCTCATGCTCTGTTCTCTTGATTCTGACTTGTGGCTGCTCTTGGAAGCAGGATACTGAGCTAAATGGACCTTTGATCTAAATTGCCATAGCCATCCTTGGGTAAGGATAAGTACATCAATGAATGAGTCAGTGTGGGCTTTGGCAATCTGGATTTCAGCATAATTTATCAGAAATGAAATTCTTTTCTCCAGCAAAAGTGTAAGCCAATCACAAAAGATCTGCGCATAGGGATAGAGAATTTTGCCTGAATAGATTGTGATTCTGGAGTCCCAAGCTTTTTGTTGATTTTTTGTTTTTCTTTTGTAGCTTCCATTTCTGTTTTGATGCTTCTTGTAGCAGAAAGAATTTGCTACAATTATGTATTAAATACAACTGTGAACCTTTTGGTTGGTGGGTAGAACATAAGTTGACACTCCTGCAGAGTTCACTGGACCTTGTTTTATGACAAGAAGACAAAACAAAGCAAATAAAAAAAATCAGGAAGGAAAATGGTTAATGTGACCTACATTAGTTTCAGTACGTGTTATGTTCTGTCATTAGCTCAGTGTTAGAATGCAGCTTTTAGCCAGAATCTATCACGAACTGGCAACATGTGGTGTTTCTTAAGCAAAAGTTGATTATTATTCTTTATTGCTTCTTTTACATGTTAACGCTTACAGAAATATCTTTCCAGATATTTTTAGCTTAGTTTTCATGACAGTTTAACGTAGTTTGCTTCATGACTGCTAAGCAATGCTATACTTTTTTAATCTTCACGGACATTAATGTTGAAGTCTGTAAATGAGCATATGCTTAGTTTTGTAAGACAGAAGCTATTTTTTTTTCTATATTTTTAATAAACTCTTCAGATTTTTTATGATTTCCTGAAAGTATATATATTTAGTTATACTCCTGTATGCTTAAGTTTACTTGATAGTTATATTGACCAAACTATATGGTGTCTCTTTTATTTCTTTTCCTGACATGATAGACACCTTTTATTCAGATTTCTGTCAGCAGAATTTTATTATAGTACATTGCCAGTACTAGAAATTTCTTTTTTTAATAAAAGCTTCCTTTCATTATCTCAGAATTATTTAAAATCACTATTTGCATAAAAATATAATAGCCTGACAATATTTGAAAGGAAGAAGTAGTTTGAGTATTGTTGAGAAAGAGATTCATCATACTAGAACCCAAAATGTGGCAGGAAATACAATGAAGAAAGGAAAGCACAATATTGAAGCATAAGAGTGAGCTCCTATGGTACCTCTCTACAGCTGCTCGTGTGTGGAATCTAAGTACTTTTGCAAGTGTAGTGCTACACATTCAATTAGTGTTATTTCAAATAATCATCGTTCAAGGAAGAAATTTTAGTACATTAGAATTCATGAGTTGGAAAAATCAGCAAAAACAAAATCATGTTTTCCTAAAAATGCAGTAAAAATATATAAATTCTTTTAAAATTAGTTTAGAAATTTTGTGAAGTGAAAGGAGATATTGTAATCCTGTCTCTAAAGTGTATCAAGAATAGCAGAACAGTGCAACTCTCTCACATCATTTGTATTCCTTAATCAGAATTTTTATGATAATTTGAAGAAATGAGAAGCAAATAGAGTTGCCAAATCTGTCCACTCTTGAAACTGGAAGAATTGAGGGAAGTAATTGGGTGCAAAATAAACATATGTTCACAAGTAATTGTACTGCCACTATTAAATTTCTTTCATTTGGTAGTAGATAGTAATTACTTTAACTTCAAGGGAAAGAGAAGATTACATCCTGCAAAACTTTTTCATGCAAAATAGTCTATCCTCCTGTCAGTGATCCTGCTTACTTTAAAGTGTCTGCTTGCTTGAGAAAAGGTTTGTCAAATCAAGTCTTTAAATGGGAGAGGGGATTAGGAAACAACAAACAAAATCCAGCTTGCAGTGGGAGTTAATTTTGGGGGTGTAGGACAGCAAATGGACAATGAATCATCATCTTTTCAGTATTCGGTGCTATCAAAACTGTTTTCCTTCCAAGTAGTCCTCTATTGGCAGAAAATTTGTGAGTCAGTGAAGGAAAATGCTATGGTAAAATACACATAAAGAGTCTCGTGCCAAAACCCAAAGTTAAGGCATATATCTGCTACAGGTTTAGGAAATGATGAGGATAAACTGGAAAAGTGTTTCTATGTTTAAAAAGCCTAATTGTAACTGTGTATATCAGTCTCTTGTCTGTTTTGTACAGCTGCTTGTGCTGTCTCACTGGCATTTTTGAAATAAACTGTATTTTTACAAGAGTCACTAGTTTGGTTTGGGATATAAGAAATAGTTGTTAGTTTTATGGGTAGGAAATCTGGATATAATAATTTTCACTTTTAAATAAGTGCTTCATTCTGTATGTGAAATTAAACAGCTTCAATATGCTTGGTTTTGTAATTAACAAATGTTGAGTTGATCAAAAATACCTTCTCTAGTATGATTCATGGAGATGAGGCTAGGCTGTGTTACAGAATAATGTGATTATAATGATTTCCTTAAGAGAGCACAAAAGCAGCATCTAAGTTTCAGCTGACGTTTATTGACACACAGCATCCGTTGGGAGCCCCATCAAACTTCCTATTCTTTTCTGTTTACCACCTCCTGCTTTTATTTACAGTCAGCATATCTGTTAATTAGCCTCTGGTAGAGCCAGTTCTTCTAAGAAGATCTCTTGTCTTCCTGGTGATGGCCCCATGAGGTGACCATGTACACACAGTCTGTGAGTGAATTAATCTTTAACTCATTAATTTCAGTGCCTGATTCTGGAATGTTTAAGTGCTGGCTTGGTTTCCTGCTCAGCAATCTGTATTTGGAGAATTGTGGTCCTTGACTTCCACTGACTTCAATGTCATGAGCACATCTGAGTGAGCTTTCAGCTTCTTGTGGTTACCCTACTGAAAGTCTTATATTCTTGTGTATTTTTGGTTTCCTATGATTGGACCAGAATGCAGATAAGACATTGGTAACTTCCTCTGTGTCACTGCAGTTATTTACCTAGTTTTCTTTGCTCTTTTGCAGAATAAAATTACTCCTCCCCTTCCTCAGCTACCTCTGTTGCACAATAACTGAATGAAACATTCTTGAAAAAAAATCTGATGTAACGTTGTGACAGCTGAATCTCACACGAGGGTACTCAGTAGGGTACCATACTGTTATACAGAATTTCAGTGAGACCTTATTTGTTTATAGCCAGAGCCTGAATGCTAGAAGTGCTAGTTGTAGTGCACTTCTCTCACAGCATGGCTTGTTTATTAGAAAAGAAAAAAGTTGCAGCTATATTTGCAGGAAGAATTCGGGAGCATGATTTAGAGATCTCTCGCCCAGGCCTACTGTGTGTGCTAGAAGTGCTTTGAGAGGTGTGAGCTGATCTGTTTGTCTCACTGGGGTGTTGCAAATCTCGTAGTTTCAGTGTTAATGGTTGTGTTTGTTTCACCTGAAACTTGAGAAAGGAATGACTGGGCCACTTATCTGCACAGTCAACTGTAGGTAATGTCTTAAAGTGATGACCTTAAAGTTCTTCACTTTTCCCAGATGGCATTTATTCCTTCTCTGTCCTCCAGTTGAGGAGTAGCCAAATTCTAAAGATTTAACCATAAGTTACAGGCACCCTTGAAATCCTGCCCAGAGCAAGTGCAAGTACTGAAAGCCATAAAGTGCACTGTGCTAGGGTGAACATTTTCATAATTTAATGAGTACTTCACTGATAAAAATTCCCTGCTTCAGTTAAAAAAACAAAACAAAACAAAACAATAACAACAATAATAATAATAACAACAAAAAAAACCCAAACCACCCAAACAACAGCATAATCCCTGGAATATATCCGATTTTTATGCTGGAGAAGTACCTCAAAGGAGTATGACATTCTCTCTTTAATGTGCGAGTGTATGTGCTCATCTAAAAGATTTTATGCTTGCAGGACTGCATCCCATTGTCTACTTTTTGTGGATAGGCAGACCCAGGTAAAGTAACTTAGTTTTAAAGGAACTTTAAACTCTAATTCCTTTAAATCAAATTCCTAAGACATCCAAGTGTCCAGGATGCTGTGAAAAGAGACACAAAAATGAGAAATAGAAGGTGAATGTTTGCTACTGATGGCTCTTGTCTTTGGAGGTTTAGTGCTGATGCAGTGTTGTGACAAAAAAATCAATGAATGAAAGTTTCTGCCACCTTTAATTGTAAGAAGCCAAGGCTGAACTGATCTGTTAATGTTTCATGGGGAAAGTTGACAATGAGGGGAAACATTTCTTCAAAACATGTTATCTGCTTTTACTTATTTTGTAGTTTAAAGATAGAAAGATAAGAGATGCTAGAAATGGTTTCTAGAATTGGGTGGCCCTTCATCAGTGTTTTATAGGTACTATTTAAGCCATCTTTGCTAAGGAGAAGCTCCTTTACTATTAATACGCTGTCATCTTTCAAATCTCATCAAGGCAGCACCAGAATTTTTTTGCACAGATTTCCTTTGACATACAGCCTCAATAAATATGGAAATTACAGCTTAAATCTCATTTTTTTTCTTGCAAAGCAGCACAGTGCCCAAATTCATTGAATTTCAACTTTTATTTTTTCTTAATGTTGAAAGACATATATGCAAATTTTATTAACAATATGCATGGTTAAACTTAGCTGTAAACTCCAGTCAGGGATTTTTGCTTTGTTTATTGTCCAAGTCAATATGTCTGTGGAGAAAACCTCCTGCTGTGCAGGAATACACAGTCAGCTACTTGGAAAAGTGAAAAGTTTAATTATGAGAGTTTGTTCTGAAAAAAAGGTAAAACAAGCACTGTTTTTTGGGTTGACTCTTTTTATTATGACTTCAGGTAGCAGAAGTACAACACACATAGTTTATTTTGACACTAACTGTTCTCAGACAAACCATTTGATTTTTCTTTAACCCGGTCATCTGTGTAACTGAGGGGTTCTGAAAGAGAAGTCATGAATAAATGATGCATTTCTTAAACTTGCAAGGTAGATAATGACATAAATGAAATAAAATCTGAGTGTGAAGGGAAAAAAGAAGCATGAACACATGTATTGCTGACAATATCTTTATTAAAATATATTTTATCCTACGAAGATATTAGTGTCAGGTTGCCTGAAAGATGCAAATTTCCTTTGTTACTCTCTCTAAAGTTGTTTTGATTTTTGTCCATAGTAACAGTGAAATACGCTTATACAAGGTTTTTGAGTGGAAGGGTAAATTATTGCTGGAGAATGTGTGTTATAAATGATATCCAAACATATTCTCATGTTTATAATAGAAAGCTTTCCAAGACTAGTTACTGGAGTGGTTCCCATGTGTTCAGTTTTTGTAAGTCGTTTACATGGAATACATTTTATCTAGCTGTCTAAAAGACCCCTCACTACATGCAAAGAAGGTGTTTCTCCTGCCTATCTAGACTGTACATAATACTGTAATAATCTGTATTTCTCCTTGTGGTTCAATGCATATTTCTCCTTTCTAAGCCTGTTCAAATGTAATATGAAGAGTGTTTTCATGATAATTCTACTATGGATGATAGTAACTATCTTTATTCTAAACCAAAAAAATTTAAAAAAAAAAATTATGGCTAATATTTGGGTTGCTTGACTTTCATCAGATGTGAAATCATATTCTTTTTTCTTTGCATCTGTGTAGGACTGATCTATAACCTGAGCTAGTAGGTTCTACAGTAATACAAATGGTACATGATAATTGTGTGTGAAGAAAGGCTGGCAGCTTTACAGAAGAAATCTCTGAACCTGTAGGTAAGTTCAGAATAAGCAATTGCCTACAGCTTTCCACATACTCTGCATTTCCACTGTGCAACTGCTCTTCTAAAGCTTTTACTGAGTCTCATTAAACAGTCCTATGTGTGAGACATGAAATGTATTTATGGTAGAGTGAGAGTTTTGTTCTGAGTCACTGGTGTATCAAGAGTTTCTTCGTAATGTTCTTCTGGTTGCCTAATACAGTGAGACAGGCACATGAGAGGCACGTACACTGATGTCTCATGGTAGCGGTCCTTGAACCTCAATCCTAAAAGATGGGAAGGTGGCTAATTTCCTGTAGAACTGAGTGTGACTTTATGTTCCTAAGTAGGATTTAGGAACCTAAATACCTTGGAATTCTCCACATATAAAGCTTAGTTGCGATGTAGCCTCTTAATTCCCCACACATCTCTGCATTCTTCCATACATGTTTCTTGGCTATTTACTGTTAATTGGCAATTTAGATGCTTAATTATGCTTCTATTTTAGGAGATGTTTCTTCCTAGTCTTATCCTGTATTTATTTATCTGTTTCTTTTCAGCTCTCTCCACTCTTAGACTTTCTGTACGTAATAAAGGCACCAGCAAACCTAATTTCCAGTAACTAGCTTCCCTCTTACAATGGAATGTACGAAACATAAGGCTGTTGGCATTAACAGAGCTAGCTACCTTGTAAAGATGCTATAAAAGGAATCATCAGGGCTCAAAAACTACTATTTTGTCCATTCAACCTGTTTTTTGACCAATATAAGCCCAATATGCAAGTTGCATATTAGCCAAATTCTGCTTCTTTTGACTGACAAAAAGTGTAGGGTGAGGAGTATGTGCCACAGGTAGCTAAATAATGCAAAACCTTATGTCAGTCTAATCCTTTTGTCACAGAAATTACTCTGCTGTTTGCTCTTCTGAAGCTAGCAATAGTAAATCAGGGAATAAATGTAACGCTTTCTTCCCATGCTAGACTTTTAACTTAGTTTTGGGAGTAGGATACAGTTTGAGTAGTGATTTAAGTGCTTAGATATCACGGATTGCTTTTTGCTTGTGAAGGATGTTTTCTTTCTATATATTTAATAAAGGAACATTAATTAGTTAACTAATTAAAGGAATTAATGTGATTGACTGTTTCTTGTGGCTCAGAGATTCACGCTGCTTGGCTAATCGGTGGCCATGAGTGTTGCATGTGTAAGTAGTTAGAGACACTTTGTTTTATTCATGCTGATTTTTATCACCAAACGTCTTACTTTGTACTGAGGAACACCGCAGGTAGACCATGGCCCTTGCACTCCACCTCAGTGAGGGGTGCTTTGAAAGGGCCTTTTGTTGCCCCATCAGTGCAAGGCCTAAACACATTCCATAAACAATCTCATAGGGTCAGGGAGCAACTGAACTGGAGAAGATGAGAATATGGTAAATTAGGTTAGGAACAGATACAATGTTGGTGATCCTTGAGGGACACTGCAGCGCTGCCTGTGACAGCATGGCTTCTTCTAGTCTTCAGCTGTGGGGTAGTTGCCTAATGCCATGTGCTAGATCTATGTATTTAATTATTTAAAAGCCTAGCTTTATTTAAAAGCTATCTACCTGCTCTCAACTGGTGTTTTTAACTTTCTACCTAACAATGCTGATTAAAATGAAAGGTGTTTGTTGGTCATCTTGTTTCCTGATTGGATGCCTCTGGGAACTCAGTCTATAGATAACCTCTTCTTAGAATCATCTAAATCTTTCTGAGTGCCAAGTAAAACCAGCTGAAATGTCTAGACATTATTAAAGTTATTTTTAGTCTAATTTAAAAATCATGGCAATTTTTTGTGTAGAACTGTTAGTGCCTCACATTCACTGGATTTTTTGTGGCATGTTGACTGATATATTTTCTGCTACTCTACATGTGTTAATACAGTACCATATAAGTACTGTATTAATCAGTGCTCATGAGAGATTATGATGGTAGAAAACATGATCATGGGATTTGACCTCCTTGGAAGCAAGGACTTTTCCAGGTCACAAAAGGCCAAGTATTCAGCTCATGACTAGTGTAGAACTCTTTTTCTGTCATAACAGAAATACTGACACCTGGTTTGCACTTGAAAGTGTTATCAAGGAAGCCTGTCAGGGAGGGATATGAATTTTTTGCTGACATAGCTATGCCAGCAAAAATCCTAGTGCAGAAGCTGCATAAGAAGTTCTTTTACCTGTACATTTTACTTCTCTTGAGGGATAGGTGGAAGTTGCTTGGGAAGAGGAGTCTTGTTAGTGTAATTTCTATATTAACCTTTCTAGTGTAAATCAACTTTAAGCCTCATCCTGTAGGGACTCATATGCAACTCATATCACTGCACATAGAGATGATATATCATAGCTTAGGCTTATGTCACTCCAAAGAATGACCTCCAGAGCAACTCTAAGAATAGTATGTGTCACTGTCTCCTATTCATCTTCTGTCTACAGAATTGTCTTACAGCTGCAAGTTGCATGAATAATGCCTGAAAATGCATGAATTTTCATGTTTAGCACCTGTCCTGTTGGTAGTTCTAGTCTTGAAGATAGTTTTGGGGCCACACTTAGGAAACAGTACAGAGACGACCATTGTTTAACTAACTGAACTACTTGCAAGAAGAAGGGAGGCTGGATGTAGATGTAGCAATGAAAAGGAGGGAAGGAAACTTCCTAGCAGTGAAGCTTGTGATGTGCAACACACAAACAAAAGGCTACGGAGTACTACACCCTTCCTTGGATGAATCAGTTCCAGGAAGAATAAGCACATGGAAACACTTGGTGGATCAGGATTGTCCTTTGCTGGTGCTACATGCAGCACAATAAAGCAGAAGTAGTTCTGAAGAAATTGGTAGTGGAACAGGAGAGTAGAAATGGTGGGAGTGAACTCAAGTTATGACTTGAAACCTTCCCTTGTCTCTTACAAAGCAATTCCTGTATGCCTCTAATTATCTTTCATCTAGAAATTCTACCCTACTTGGAACTGATGACCTAAAAAGTGGGGTCTTAGTGTTTGTCTGCAGGAAGGACTCCCTTTTCTTTTATGGGAGAGAGAGACGCCCAACTAGAAATTACATCTAGCCTCGAGCATACACATATTTTGTATTAGTTCAAGTTATTTCATAACATATGAAATGATGGCTGGACCAGATACCTGAATGCATCATTTGCACTAGCAGAAATAATTTCACATCATACTCTGCAGGAATTCAGACTTGTTCTATTTTTGGGCTTGAAACAGGAACAGCATGAAGAAGCTAGCTGATGTTTTATTTGAGACAAAGGTTTCCTTTTTCCTCAAAGGTTTTTTCAAGACATGTGGAAAGCCCATTTCAAATAATACTGCCAGAGCCAAAGCTGTGTATGTAAGCTCTGTGGTCATGCACTGAGGTTGATTAATCAGCCAAGGTTGATTGAAATTGGTATTTTCACTTCAAGTCCTAGAGACTTACTTTGGAAACGCATGAATTTGTAGGCTTGCAGCCTCCCTGACAGATGAATCTAGTCTCGAGGATTGCAAATTTGATCCCTGCTGTTACCAGTCCAGCCACAGGGGCCATTTAACAAAAGATCCCCGAGTTAATGATTGCTGTTCTATGACAGGGATATTGGACTTATTATACACTGAACACAAAGGTCTCTGATCCATATTCGTGCCTTGTTTCCTGCTTGGAATTCAGCACCGCATGGTGGTAACTGCTTCATGCAGGAAAGCATTCTGCTGTGATATCAGTGAGCGATAGTATCAGAAGAACATCCATTTTCCATGAATTTAAACTATTACCGCAGTTAGGTGCAATTATTGAGAATCCCTGTAGAGTCGCACAAAAAATGTTGTCTCTGTCCAAAGATGTTGATTCTGGAATGTAGCAGTGCCAGTCTGACATGCGTAGTTTGGGGTCTCAGTGGCTGCTATAAATTGTGCCCTGGAAAATGATTACTAGGACTAGAAAGTACAGTGCTGCATTTCAAGCTCTATTTTGAGTATCAGTGGCTTTGTCAAACTATACATGTAATTTAAATGGAATTTATATGGTGAAAATATGTTGAAGAGGAACCAGTGGAATAAGATGACTTCATAACACAGAATATTGACTTTGCATATTAACTTCATTAACTTAATGCTGTCTCTTGTGTATTGGAAAATTGTTCAAGTGAGAATAATAGCTTTTGAACTACTTACAGGCTAATAGGTAGTGATTGTAGTCACTAAGACTGAATAGCTGTGGCTGTTGATTACACAGATTAAACGTGAGTGCAGTTTTCAATATGGCTGATTTTCAAAAAACTCATTTTCTGTCCTTCATTTTGACTTTCATGGCTAATGACACTGACTTCTAATGCATATTAAATTCTGGGAGTGGGAAATTAAATTCCTCTTCTTCCATCTCATAGTAGAGACATGATTGCAAAGCATGCCATATGCTTATTTTAAATTGTTCAAGACTGAAGCTATCAAATAAAAGGTTGCATTAGTGGCAATTCCCATACAGTGGGACATACTCTGTTTAAGCAGCTGATTGGTTATAGATATTTGTAGCATTCACAGCACTAATTTTTCATGCACTCCATCCTTATGTTTTTTCTCTTCATATCTGAACTGTGTGCATGTCTATTTGCATCCGCTGTGATTTCTCAGTGAATGCTAGTTCCCAAGTTCTTTCTCTATTCTTCCTTTTTTTTTTTTTTTTCTCCAGGGCCTAATTATGAAACAGCTTCAAATAAATACAATTTTTTAACAAAAAACATTCTGCTTCCTGTGAACAATGGGCTGAATTTTTCTCTTTATTCTTGGGGAGTTCTTATTCAGCTGGAGTGCTTTGCAGTTGGCTAGGCCTGAGATTTCTGGGAGCTGTAATTGTGTCTCATTAATTCTTACAGTAATGTAGGGTAACTATAAGGAGCATGCAATTAGTGGTCTGGTCAATGAATAGAGCAGTTAATCAGCAGACAAAGGATGGGGCTCAGGACCTATTAGGCTGAAAGGAAGTGTTACTATTGTCACAGGCAGTAGGAATGCATGCAGACATGCCTTAAAGTTGAACTGTTTAAGAGAACTGTGTATGTCTTTTTGCTAAACCAGTTTTCCTACCTATTCCACTAGTTGAGAGAGATTCATTTAAGCTTGCCTGCTAGAAGTCAAAGACCATATCGGAGGTTTCGACAGGCTGAACGGACTCCTCAGTGTATTCTCTCACCTTAACAGAGGCAGCCCCAGGGTTTATCAAAAATAAAAAATGGCCAAAGAGATGTAAGGCATCCTTAGCTGTTCCTCCTCCTCAGAAAAATGGTCGGTGAATGTAAAGTTTAAATCAGCTATTGTGTAGATTGTCACTCAGTCATACTCAGCATGTTTGTCTTCATAATGAACCTTGTTTGTTCTGAATGGCTGTGCTGTTTGTTCTGAATGGCTGTGCTTTCAGTGCATGCAAATGTATGCAAATACTCATAACAGTTTAAAAATGGTAGCTCTTACGGTAACAAATAACCTCTCCTACTTTTATGAAGCCCTGACTTTTGCTGTATCTAGGGTTTAAAATGCAAAAATGATTCCAACTTTAGACAGTGCTTCGGGTTTTTTTGTTAGGCCCAGATCAGAACTTTCAGTTGTTTCTGCCTTTGAAAAAATGTGAACCTCATGAATCCTGTGAAATGTTATGACATATGATGATTATAAAGAAAAAGCTTTATCAATAAAACACTGCCCTTGAGTAACTCTTATTTCTAGTAGGCATTGCTTCAAATAGAAAGTAATTTCTTCTCTTAAATAAAGCAGACACTTGGCATAAAAAAGCGGTAATTAAAATAACTTTTTTGGGGGGGAAAAAAGGGAATTGAACTTTAATAATTAGCTTATATTCAGAGTCTAGTGTTTTTCTCAAAACTGAAAGTAATTTTTAACTGTCTTCTTTGTATTAACAGGTCTGTAGCTTTATCTTTTCTCATGGTATTCACATCAGCAGCAAGTAACGTTAGAAGAATAAAGTCTCTCAGGCTTTATATTAAGGATTCAATTATTCTGTATAATTAGCCCTGATTTGTTAAATATTTGAAACATTTTTTACTCTTAGGTATGGAACAGCATACTGGAGTGATCAAAACCACAAATAACTTGTACCTTTACTCAGAAAATGCTTTTTTATCAAATAATAAGGAAGATTAAGCCTAAGTCTCTCTCTTTTTCTGTTTGGATTTTATTCCCACAAGAAATATCAGTTTTGTCCACAATCTCTCGTGCATTTCTATTCCCTTGAAATACAAAGAGGCAGTGGATTCTGGTATAAATTAGGTAGATTTAATGAAATTTATGAGTTGTATCTTGTGCCTTGAATATAAAATACTTGAGTGAGGCATAAGGTATTTTGCTCATGCCATTATTGTCACCTGTCTGTTTTTTCATTCTTCTGTGCCTGTTTTTGAAACACTTAGGAGCTGTGGCATCTTGGGAATAACAGTTTCTCTATGCCATACATAGGAAATCTTTCCAAGGTCATATTTTTTTTAGTGTCTTCTTTTAAAGAAGCAGAACAGACTTACCCTGCAAAACGATGGTATTACTTCCATGCTCAGAAACTGGCTCTGAGTGCTCATATATATGCTACTTCTCCATTTAATTAGAAAGTGATTTCTCATCTGGTGTCAGACAGCATAAAAAAGTTGCTGCTCAGTATCACTGTTAAGCATCACAGATTTAATGGGAATTACCTTCTTTTTCCTCCTCCAGTAAAGTTTTTCCTGTTGAAACACAGGTTCAGTCATAGGGAACTATTGATGTGGAAGGGGTCTTAAATAAAGTCACTGAAATATTATTTGGGGAGGTAGCAGATTAATCGTGGTCTTCCATAAGAGCACAATGTTATGACTGGAATGGGCATTATGATAGAAATGATAAATACTCCTTAATATGTAAAGATTGATGAAAGGTCTTTAACCTTGTAAATTAGCAGAATATTCATCTCTGTATCTCTCTTTACATAGGCACTCGTATATTTTTACTTAGCAATAAGAACTAATGTTACTCTGGTGGACAGTGTAAGGTAAGGTAAATTAAACAATTACATTGCTGTTTTGAGAACTTCTCTTTTTCTTAGTATAGTGTGACTCTTATTTGGTGTACCTGGCCTGTTGTACAAGTCTCCAGTCTGCAATAATCCTAGAGCAGAAAAAGTTTATAGCTCCTAACTAAAAATATATGCCAATGTAGTTTAAAGGGCATTAGCTTTAAAGAAATCCTTTTACATGTGTCCTGTTTTTTCTGGTGCAAGATGACATTACTATAACACAAACACGTGTATTTTGCTCTCCAATTTAATCTAGTTGTCTATGCTTCTTCATCTGTTGTTAGAACAGAGAGAAAATATTGCTTTCTGACCAGTTGTCCCACCTGTTTTGAACTTTGTTCCTGAGTACTTTTATACTTTAAGTGGCAGGTCTGACCTTGTAGAAGTTGCTGCTTAAGCTGGTACTGTCACCAAATCACCCTCCCATTATGAAAGAGACACTGCTTTTTATAAGATGACTGAAATTAAGTGAGGTGATTACCTCCATAGTGAAAATCATTTGATTATAACTCTTTCATGTATTATCTATATATCTTGAACACTCATCTTAGGGATCAGGCTATGGTGCACACAACCAGTAAGTAATTTTCTCAGTCAGTTGAGGAATACATTTGTAGACTGTACAGTACTCTTGAGAGAAATGTATCACTGAAGTCACCCCTTTTTTTACCTAGAATGAGATTTGGAAGAGTAAGCTATTTAAGTCCAAAACTGTGGCCCTAAGAGAGCCTCCTTAATTGCAGTCTAGCCCTGGTGACACCTAAGCTCCATGAGCAACTTTACCATTCCATGGTGCCTGGCAGCTGAGGTCCAAAACAGCCCTGTTTTAGCAGAGGTCTTTGCCCTGCTCCTTAAGCTTGACTAGGATCCGGGAAGCAGATGTTATGGGGTCAGAATTACCTGGGACAGCTGATCTGGTAAATGTTCCCTGAACACACAATATCCTTGGACAGCATCATCTCCTAATAAAATGCGGTGACAGCAGCTGCTGCTGGGAAAAAGATGGAGCAGCTCCGTTTTACATAGCATCATAGTGGCCAGTCATCCAAGAAACGTCTGAGTGGGCTTGCATCCGTGTTGTGTGTTGCCTTGCAGGCTACCCTGTCTCCTAGAGTAGAGGCTAGTCTGAGCTAGCACAAGCAAATAGTTCTGGTCCTTTAGCAGCTTTACATATGAAATGGTTTGTCAGGAATTTGAACCAGAATCAATTCAGTGACCCAGAAGAGAATATGGAGTATTGGTGTGTGGTATGCTCTGTGCAATTTGTTACAGCAAATGAGCTGCTGTGTAGGCTACTTGCTGCAACTGTTGTGTAACATTTTCTATATACAGTCTCTTTAGCAAACCTACCTGAAAGAGCATGAATTAAAATTGCTAGGAGGAAGAAAAGGTAGTCTTTCTGAAGGCTGTGCTGAAAGAAAATTTCTTATGAAAGAAAATTTCTAGTATAGACTGTAGTCTATGCTAAAGTCAGAAGTAAAACCCTTCCTGACCAGAAATTGTTCCAGCTATGTTTGAACTGTGATGATTTGGGCCATTCTATGTACAACTTAGAAATTATGGTTGACCTCGTGACATTGTTATTATATTGCAAAATCTCTCTGTGTGTCTGCTTTAGCTCCCAAATACTTGGTGGCAGGATAAGGGACACTGTACTTTTTGAATAGGTTATGACTTGCATATGAGAAGGACTGGTGGCATTGGAGAGATTTGTTTTCTTGCAAAGAACTAGAAAATGCAGTCAGAAAATGTCCACATTGGCATTAGCATGACAACAGGTATTAATTCAGAGACAAGAGAGCAAAGAAACTTTTTTTTTTTAAAGAATGAAATATGTAACTGAAGAACCAGAGGAGGGTAGGGGAAGTGGTTTGACTCCAAAGGTGCCATATGTCCTAAAGACAAGTCCTGAAATGTATGAGAAGGATTTTAGGCAGTATGAACTTCTCCCCGGAGTGAAGTCCGTAGTGGTCAGAATTTGCTCAAAGCCGACACGCCTCAGTTTGGGTCCAGTCCTCACTGTTGGCTGCTGTGCCTGCATCAACTTGGAGTTTCATGTGATCCCTGAGTTGCACATAACTTTCTTCCTATCCACATTTATGGTCTTACTATCACAAACTAAGAACAGTCATGCAGGATCAGACTAAACATCTGTCTAGTCGGGTATCCTGTTTCTGACAGCAGCCTGGGGGAGCGTATAAGAAAATGTCAAGCACGTAATGATCCCTTCTTGGTGTATGCTCCTACCTTCTACTGAATCATGGTTTTGGGACTTCCTGAGTCAGAGATAATGCTAGCATTTTTCATCCCTCCTCTCAGTTCCACTAGTGGTGCAAGCCTTGGAGACTTTCTATTTTGTTTAAAACCATTTTCTCATTTTCTTTTATGCAGTACCTTACACAGGCTTTCTTTCATACAACGAATTGTAAAGCTCATACATCTTTCTGTTTAAATTCCTCTTTGGGATTGTCTTCTTCCTTGACATAAGGATTGTTTTATTCCTAGAATAAGATTTTTGCTAATTTATTTCTTTTACTCTATTAGTTAGCTGCCCATTAATGTGAGGGGAAGGGTGTGGGGGTCCCTAGGGAGCTTCTGGCTGTACAGGCTCCAGGAGGATGGCTTCATTTTAGCTGCTGTGCTAGAGAACAGGGAGGAGTTAAGGTGCTCAGTCCAAGACAAAATTTTTAAAAACTAACAGTTCCAGGAGCCTTCAACTCCAGACACCTCGCATTTCTCTGCAAGACAAACTTGTGCAACCCAGGTCCCAGCATGACAGGAAACAAGCCAATTGCCACTGACACAGGTTTTGAATGATGTGGATAATCAAACAGCAAAATAACTTATTTGGCTTCTGGTACCCAGCAAGTTGTGGCTGGTTCTTTTCTAAATCAAACCTTGTCTGAAAAGGATAAATGGTGCTACACTGCACACTGCCCTCCCTCCCCCTTCTTTGCAGCAGGAAGTAAATGCGTCTGTGGAAGAACTGTGATGTGAGCAAACACAATATTGAGCCAGGAAATGTTTATGCAAGAGCATGTGAAAACCTGAAGGAAAGTGTAGATTTTAAAAAAACCCATACCCAGCAACTACTTCCCTCTCCTCATCAAATGTAAAGCAGTTTAAAATTTCTTGGTATTTTAGCGCACATGGTATTTAATAAAAAAAAACCCCAACTTCTAGTAGTACTGTAATTCTGAGTTAGATCAGTTCCTTTCCATGTCAGTATTTGCTTCGTCTCTTGTAGAACTTGATAGGCCAGTGTTGGTTTCAGAAGGAGGATTGGATCCATATCCTTTCTATCTGTAGATGTATAAGTCTCTAGGCTCCTGCATTTGAAAAACTAGTCCTTACTACTAAACTGTTATAACTGTTAACAATTCTGACTACAGAAATTCTTATCTAGTTGGAAACAAATAAGTAGGAAGAAGGTGATCTCTGAAAACTTCATACATGGGAAAGAAGCAAGAAATGTTACTAAGTCATTCCTTGTCACATAGTTGCCAAATCAAGCTATAATTTTTCTATTGCTACCTTTGCATGCTGATAGGTTTAAGTGAAGTGATTAAGCCTCTGGAACACAAGATGTAGTCTGTATGTCAGCTAATCCAGTGCTGACCCCAACTTTCTAGTCTCTGTGGGAAGGTTCTCTTCTGCTTCAGCATCTTGTCAGCTACTTTGAATGCTCTTAATCCTACTCATATTTTGTGGTATAGGCCAGGCCAAAAATATGTTCTCATAATTCAGGACAGGCAAATTAGAAGATATTACGGCCCATGTTGAAAGGGTTTCCCTTCTAGGCAAACTCGTTATTTTATTGCTCAAATGTTTCACTGTGAAAGCCATCTATTGTTCCTCCTCTGTGCCATAGCAAAAATAGTCTAGAATCATCTGCTTTTCCATTGTCCCCTTCAGTTCTAGTTCTGAATAATTTTTGATGCCATGCACCTCTCTTTATGCACCTCTGGTTTGCAGATTATTCTCCCTTCTCCATCAATTGCTGCTCAGATTTTGAATCCTCCTTTGTTGCCACATGGCATCCCTATTGCCAGTCATCTCTCAAAGTCAGTCAATTGTTGCTGTTCTTGTTATCAACAAACAGATAAAAGAATCTGGTGAACGACCTGCTGTAATAAATTATGAAAGGCCTTTCTATCATGAGTAAGTTATGCACTGGTTTTGCATTCTTCTCCTAAACACTTGCTTGTTGAGTCGAGTTTTCAATGGTTTGATAGTAGGTTAGTTTTACATTTTCTGGATCTGAGCTACTTTTGGGTACGGTAGTTTGGAAGGCACTTGTTAGAGGCCTAGCAACCCTAATCTCTTTTCAGGTTTTCAGTCACACAGGGTGATACACTGCTTAAAAAAAGTGTGTTCTAAATTTCAGGAATGGGATATATTGCTTATGCCAGGGATACCCTTCCTGCCCTTTGGAACAAAAAAAACTGGTAATAAACTGGAATTTGGAAGTGACAATTTTTCCTATGTAAAAAGTTTGTCTTATTATCCACATGGACTAAACTAATACCTATCAACAATGTAGGCTTTGTGCTGGTGGTATGGGCTGAGCTTTAAGCATAATTTTGTAAGTTACTATTTTTGGGAAATAAAATCATACACATTCTATCTTCTACGTGAATGTCTCTGACTGAAAAATAAAAAAAAAAAAGCAACAACCTACTGCACTGAGATGGAATACAGAACTCCTCCTTTTCATCCACTTGTTATCTTTTGGATTTATTTGAATGATAGTAGATATTGAGCTGGAGGACATGAATAAAGACAGTGTAAACATGCTAGAACCTCAGTCAGGATTATAGATTAAAATTAAAATAAAAATTATAAGTACACAAAGCTGTGGTTATATGCCAGTTGACATGTTTTCTTTGCTGGTTTGTCTTTTTTTGTTTGTTTAAATTATGACAAAGGTAGTATTGACCTCCAAATATTGATTCATTTCCTGCATTTCTGGTTTG